AAGAGCACTCCCCGTTAGATGTGCGTTGCTCTGGACGTACTGTCGAAGAGTGGTAGTTGCTGATGGTGGCGGTGGCAGAAGGGACTGCCGTGTGGAGGTCAGCGCCGGTATGAGGGAGGTTTGTGTCGTACCAGGTGGTCGAGATGTGACGCTAGATACCGCACACACAGTGACAGCTCGCGGTGGGCTCGGTACCGTTGATGCAGCTAGTATTTCTCCACATGTTGCCGCTGGCTGGAGAGCTTCTTGCAACATGGGAGAGGAATTTGAAGTCATATCAGCGACGGACTGAGGCACAAGTTGATGCTGATCGCCAATAGTGGATACAGCATAAGTCCCGCCGGCAGGATCAATCATTTCGGTACCATCGGCGTTGACTGCAGATGATCCTTTCTCTTTCTTCTTTGCTTCCTTAATATAAAGCCATTTTGCAATTTGAAATTGAAAGTTAAAGAAGAACTTTCGAAGTAATCGCTTACCTTCATGCCGTTCATAATCAAGTGTGTGCTGCAAAAATTCTCTTCCTTATCCTTTCTGATGGCATTTGTACACCGAGTAGCAAGGTCCTTCTTGCCTACAAAACTTGGGTGAAGAAAAGTAGGATAATTAAACGTCGGTGTGGGTCACGACAATCGTAAACCGCCATGCTAGCGAGCGTGGCGTGCAATTACGCGCGCATAAAGGCTGAGCCCGCATTAAAATTTGATGAGTTATGCGGCTCAAATACTTATAACAAGGTAGCAACAAACCCCTTAGTGAGTTTAACCCCTGCATAACTGAGGTTGGACGTGCTCAAGGCGAAGAAAGGTGCGGTTGCACGAGTTCTCACTTGTTGATATCAGCTGTTTTCCCTTATCACCTCACTCTCACCACTCGACGTGGAGAGAAGCAGCAGCGAAACAACCGCACCATCAGGTAACCATTAGGAATGAGTGGAGGGCGGTGCCAATGATTGTAGGTTGGGCCAATGAGAAGAACGACGGCATCGTGGGCCTCCTCACGTTTTTGCGCCGCGAAAGTGGTGTAGTTGTTGCCTCTGCGGACCTGACTACCTGCTCACGAAGGGAGAGGAAAATCTCAACTGAACGCGGACGCTGCCTTTAAGCGTGCAATGGGGAAACACAGTAATCGATGACTTCTCCAATACTGTTATCAGATCTTTTGCCCCAAGCACAGCACAAACAAAACTTTAGGCATGTACACTTTACATCACCGCAATTGTCGGGTCGCAATCAGCGGCTCGCACCTGCGGCGTTTCCATCATTGGTTGCTCCCTCCCTAAATCGATCTTTACCCGATCGCCATTGGTAGAGCAACGAGGCCGAACGCCCATTTGGACCGCGTTGCACAGCCGCCCTCCGACAGTCCGCAATGATGAGGACTGTAAATTCACAAATGTTCCTTCTGCACCTCTCGTCGCCTAAGGCGCTATGTAGCTCAGGAGGGAGCAGCCACAACGAGATTTCCCACGCCATGCTGCCACAGCGAGATCGCTCCGTAAGAACATTTTCTAATGAGACAGTGTTCAGACTTCGCGATAATCCTGCGTCTACACGCTATAACGCGCGTCGATTCGCTATAGTTGCAACAGTGCTCCAGACCTATAAACGAGCCCGCAACCGCAGACGGGAAAGGATTGGCG